AACAGACTACTGATATTGCTTATTTCAAATAAAAATCTGAAGAAATTCTTCAGTGACTCAGTAGTTATATATCTTTTGAATGTAAACTGGTTCTCTAATATATGATAGGAATCAAGTTTCTAGGTAATCCCTTGGTGATAAAACTTTGTTTTTGAAAATCATGTCTGTTGGGGATTGAGGTGGGTTTCACTCACTCAGAAGGAAGATATACAGTTCTGTTTTTTTTGTTTTTTGTGTTTTTTTTTTAACATCTTTGGACTCTTAAAAATGTGAACTTAGGCCTTGCTAGATGTCTGAGATGTCCTTTCTGACAATGCAAGCTGGAAAAGGCTAGATAAAGACTAAACTTTACATCATTCTGGTGAGAAAAGGATCTACCACCACACCCAACCTCAACAGTTAAAATTCCATTATCAGGGGCTGAGTAAACAGATTACTAATACTGAGGAAAGACTAAGAGATGAGCCTTTCCATCTGTTCTATATCTGTCAAATGGGACTAGAGAAGCAGGGGCAGCTCAAGTTTTAAGTGTGAGTTTTGGTTCTTTAAAAGAATGTTCAGCCCATACGACTAGGCTAGAAATGAGAGAGGTTATCAGGAACAAAGATCATGTAGCTTCTTGGAAATGCCCAGAATGTTTCTCTTCAGAATGTCATGACGACTGCAGATGCAAAAGGGCAGAGTGTAATGTCTTTGCTCACAACCTGATGGTGAGCCACCTGGGGGCTGATTCACCTGTATATTCCCTGATTACCTTGACTTTAGCCTAGACGACCTCTTTGGCACACTGTGAAACAATCCCGGCTGATTCAGGAGGACCACTGCTGCAGAGTTGCACTATCTCTCTGCTTTCAGGACAAACCACTGTGGAATCTCAATGGAGAGATTCCTCATCCTGGTATGGAGAGGCTAGGTCTCTTTACGTCCTTTAGCTTCCAGCTTTACCTGCCAGCTTTGAGAGCTGGGAAGCTATTAATAATTGCTATGAGACATCCATAAAATGGGTCAAAAATATAAAACTCTTAAGAGGGGAATGGAGAATACCAGGATTCTGGTTTTCAGAATGGGGAGTAAGGTCATCTATTCTGTGTCACTATCCCTTCATAAGCACCAGGACACTCCTAAAGACATTAGCTTAATTGAGAGGTCCAATACTGTATTCTGAACCCTGCCTTACAGATAGAATTCGTATTATCTAGGGTTTTTAGGATACTTACCAAATTTTATCAAATGTCTTTAAAAAACTAAATGAACTTTATTATTTTTATTTTTAAAATATTTTTTATTGATTTTTTTTTTTTTTTTTTACAGAGAGGGAGAGGGATAGAGAGTTAGAAACATCGATGAGAGAGAATCATCGATCAGCTGCCTCTTGCACACCCCCTACAGGGGATGTGCCCGCAACCAAGGTACATGCCCTTGACCGGTATCAAACCTGGGACCTTTCAGTCCACAGGCCGACGCTCTCTCCACTGAGCCAAACTGGTTTTGGCACTAAATGAACTTTAAAAGCAGAAATAGAATGAACCATATTTTCTAATCACAATATAGCAAAACCAAAAATTAAATGGAAAATGGCAATATTGTATAGCTCTTGGGTCAGAGGGAATATTAATGAATACAGTAATATCAATTTTTAAATTATCAATAATAACACTGTGATGAATAATCCTATATATCAACTTAACTGGGCTAAGAGAAGCCCAGAGAGCTGGTAAAATATTGCTGGGTGTGTCTGGGAGGGTGCTCCTCAAAGAGATTAATGTTTGATTGAGTAGAGTGAGTACAGAGATCTGCCCTCACCAATGTTGGGGGAGGGGTATTATCCAATCCATTGAGAACCAGAATAGAACAAAAAGACAGAGAAGGGTGAATTCCATCACTTCTTGTGCTAGGAGCTACATCTTTTGTTGTCCTCAGATATCAGAGCTCCTGGTTCTTTGGCTTTCAGATTTCATGATTTATATCCCCCTGCCCAGGTCTCAGGACTTTGGCTGAGTTACAACACTGGATCCCCTGGTTCTCAGGTTTTCAGCCTCTAGACTGAAAGACACCATTACCTTTCCTTTTTCTTCAGCTTGCAGATGGTAGATTATGGGACTTCTCAATCTTCATAACAAGATAAGTCAATTCCTATAACAAACCTCTTCCTCTCTCTCTGTTTTTATTGGCTTCTGTTTCTCTGGAGAATCCTGATTAATACATTATATATAAAAACTATGGAATGTGACCAAAGCCATATTGATAGGAAAGTCCTTAGCCTTAAATGCTTTTATCATTAAACAAAAAATAAAACACAATATGCTGGATATTCATTGAAAGCTTACCACTATGTAGGGCCTGAACAAAATATATTTCATTTAATCTTCATAGTACTTATAAGGTGGGTACTGTTTTTCCTCTTCATACTGATTACAAGATAGGTAGGTACTGTATTTTTTGTACTGTATTTTGCCCTTACTTTTGTGAAGTAAAATTAGGGACACTCATACAATGTTCTATGATCTCTTTTTCCAATAACTATTTCACGTATTTCTTGATTCAGTGCCTCAAAATAAATAATGAGTGTTCTCTACTCTGTAAAATCCAGTTAGGTGTGTTTATGATAAGATGAGGGAGAGGATATAGCCCACTTTATGACTACACTAACCCTACTAGCTAAAATTGACTGTATTCAATACAGAGAGTAAAGTGATTCCAGCTTAGGGGCAGGAGTCAATTGTGGTGCCTGTTGCCACTGCTCATGGAAGCAGCTCTAAGTTGTGCAAACAATTAGTTAATGTGATTGAAGCAGAAAGAGCATATATATATTTCCACTTTATTAAAATATTGCATAGATACAGAGCAGTTGGGCACATCCATTCTAAGGCACTATTCTGGTTGGAATGCAATTCCACAAGAGAGAAAAGAGAAGCCATTACATTCAGTGTTTTTCATCTCTACATTCAGACTCCTCCCATGTTACATTTTATTGCTACTAGGATCTCAATTTTTAATCCCACATCTATAGCAGCGTCATACAGGGACTGGGGTGACAATAATTAAAGACACATCCTAGCTTTAGCACTTGATATGATTTGGCACTTAATACAAACTCTCTTGCATTGTTGTCCATTTGTTTCCCAACTCTTGTTTAATTAAAGATATAAACTTTTATGAACCTGATCCATTAATTAATTTGTTTCCTAGTTTCCATTAAGCCTAGAACAGAACTAATTAGGCACAAAGTAGATACCCCCAAAATACTTCAGTATGACTTCTAAGATGTTCTGTGGAATAGAAAAAAATATACTTTCCCTAATTCTAGTTTAAGGAAAGGATGACTGGTATCTTCATAAAGGGAAAATACTTGAATGTCCTATTTTTTGTATTTTATAACAAGGAACGAGGCTGAATATTTTCATGTATTAACAGCTTTAACTGACAAAGAATTCTTCCCTTGCTATAGGAGTTTGAGTCATTACTATGAGTATATGAGAACATTTATATAAGTAGCAATGTGTGTGTAATTATATGTAAAATTCAAAGAGGTTGAGAATCACTAAGCAACTTATAAAGTATCTGAGTGAGCCTCACCTCCTTAAAATGTGTGTGTGTTTTTGTGTGTATTACATAAAAACATGTGTGTAAAGAATTTTTCATAACACCCTTCAAATGACTGGAGATAACTAGGCTTGGGAGTAATAAGACTATATTGATAACTATAGAAATATATGTTAAAGGCATGTGTTCCAAGAGATATTTGCAGAATACTAGTTCTGTGGGTTATTGTTTGGGTGTACATGAAAAAGGGTCCTAGGGTAAAAAAATTGAGCCAACAGAGTTGCTTTTTCTGCCTTTACTGAAGGACCTGTCAGAGAGTCTCATATGTTGATGTACACTATGAATCTAGAAAGGGGAAACAGCAGGGATTCCCAACCTTATTTGCAAAATATCTTACAGAACTAAGTGTTCTATGACACACACTTAGGGAGATGTTAAATTAAAGGATGAGAAATGTTTGAATACCAAAGGATAGTAAAATGCAATGAACACTGCCTGGCTAGCGTAGTTCAGTGACTGAGCATAGACCTATGAATCAGGAGGTCATGGTTCGATTCCTGGTCAGGGCACATGCCTGGGTTGCAGGCTCAATCCCCAATGTGGAGTGTGCAGGAGGCAGCCGATCAATGAGTCTTTCTCATCATTTATGTTTCTATCTCTCTCTCCCTTTCCCTTCCTCTCTGAAATCAATAAATATATATATTTTAAAAAGCAATGGACACTGGCTCCTCAGTCAATCTAATTTGAATCAGGTTTTAATTGTATGACCAACTGTCAAATGTATTCTTCCACCTAGAGTTTACTCATTCTCTGAACAAAATAAACCACTAAACTAACAGCTCTAAGCTGCATTTCTTCAAACAACCAAATAAGAAGATTAGCAATTTTGATAAATTCAGAAAGTTAAAATCTTAATTTCTTAAACATAAAAATTTTCTATGGAGATAACCCAGTTCTTATGAGGCAAATGAAATCCTCTTTATCCATATGTTCCTGACACATTTTTATTCTTTGAACATAATACACTGTCTCCTTTCTTGCCACTTGGAACACAAATAAAGCTTTAAACTAATATAACCACCTTTAATAATGACAGAAGAATAATTATGATGCTGCTATATATCAGATAGACATGGTTATCCATTATATTGACCCTATCCTATATGTTTTATGCTTTCATCTATGATACGGTTGGCTTGGGACACAAACATTTTCATTAAAAAGTAAGAGCTGTAAAGATAGAATACATCAAATCTAGGAAAGTTGTATGAGTTGCAAGAGTAGGTGGATACTCTAGAATTCACATGCCTTGGAAGATAGGTTTTTTGATAGTAAAAGAAAGAAAATCTGTTCTTATAAGCTCAAACAAAAAAGATTCTTCCAAGACAGACTGCTTCAAGTTAAGATATTTTTGAGTTAGTGCCAATTTCTGCATGACCTGTTTCCTTTAATAATTATTAAAGAAGTCCTCTAAAGTGAGTGACTTGGTGCATAATAAGGCCTGCTCTCTGTCTGAAACTTTTAGAACAATGACTACATTTGTATGGCTTCTCCCCTGTATGAATTCTTAAATGAATAACAAGGCTTGGTCTCTGTCTAAAGCTTTTCCCACAATAATTACATTTAAAAGGTCTCTCTTCTGTGTGAGTTCTCTGGTGCAAAGTAAGAGCTGTTAGTCTACTAAAACTTTTCCCACAATTGTGACATCTATGAGGTTTTTCACCCGAATGAGTTTTCAGATGTCTTTTAAGACTTGATCCATGACAAAAGCTTTTCCCACACTCAAGGCATTTGTAAGTCTCTTCTTCAGAATGGGTTCTCTGGTGCCCTATAAGGTGTGAGCGCCGAGTGAATCGCTTTTTACACACAGTACATTCATAGGGTCTCTCCCCTGTATGAAGTCGTTGGTGTCTATAAAGGTCTGAACTACGAAGGAATCTTTTTCCACATTCAGGACATTTATGAGGTTCCTCTCCTGAATGAATTCTCTGGTGCCCTGTAAGTTGTGACTTCCGGGCAAAACATTTTCCACACTGAGAACATTTGTGAGGTTTGTCTCCTGGAATCTTTTTCTTATGGGTTCTAGGGTTGAGAGGTTCTTCCAAGTTAGAGCTCTCAGGTTTCTCTCCTATAGAGGGATTCTGATGATCTATAAGTTTTGTCAAATCTGTCTGTAAATCCTCTGGGGGTTTTTCCCATTGATTTTCTAACTGTACATAATCTTTTTGCAAAATGGGATCATGATTAGCATTATCCTCTAAAGAAACAAGAAATGGGTATATATTTTCCAGTTTTTTCTGCTTTGAAGTATCTTCTTCATTTTCTATCCCAATCTCAAAACCTAGGAGAAGAAAATAGAAACTGCAGATGTCACTGTGTCCCACTGAGAAAAGAACATGAAGACAACGAAGAGTTATAGTAAACCATCAGTAGAGATATAGAAATTACTAAATAGAAGCCAAAACTCTTTAATTAAGGATGAATTTTTCTTTTCTTTCTTCTTTCTTCTCTAGTATCAATGAACAAGTACTTACCTATCTTGGATTCAAGTAATTGTTTAATTTCTTTGGAATCTTGTAGCTCTTTCACCCATGCATCTTCTCTATGCTCCAATGGAAAGCTCACATCAAGCTTTGGTAATGAATATCCTGGTCATTAGAAAGATGAAAAGCATAATTGTTTGTGTTATTAATGGTTTTTCCAGAGTTCAGGCTGATATCTTGGACATATAGCCACTTAATATCTACTTCTACCTTAATTACTATTATTTCACCGGAGTCTTGTGAAGGAATCTTTTAAAAGAAGAAAACAGAAAGGAGAGAACATCCTTTTTGCTCAATTCAAAACTATTCTCCTCTAGTCTATGGAAGGAGAGGGAATTGATTCTATGCTGAAATCATGTCCTAAGTTACTTCTGAATCAATTTGATATAGATTCAATTAGGTTAGAGCCAAAATATGAAGTAAATCTTCATAAAGTTTTGGCATATTAAAACAGAAATGCTACTACAGAGTACCAAATGAAGAGAGGTAAAAGTAGGAGTTAAAAAACTGTTTACTGAAATAATTTCAGTAGAGATTTTCAAATTAAAATGGAAATTGATCCCTAGCCAGTTTGGCTCAGTGAATAGAGTGTCATCCTGTGGACTGAAAGGTCCTGGGTTCAATTCCAGTCAAGGGCACACACCTTGGTTGCAGGCTCCTCTCTGGCCTGAGGCCCTAGTCAGGGCTCGTGCAGGAGGCAACAGATGAAGTGTTTCTCTCACATCGATATTTATCTTCTTTCCCTCTCCCATGCTCTTAAAATCAATGGAAAAATATCCTGGAGTAAGGATTTTTTTTTAAAGGAAATTGAGTGGTTTGACAACCAGCAAAAGCAGTTTTTGTTTGTTTCAACTAAAGTCTAGAAGTGGATTCTTTTGAAATTAACCCAAATGTCCATCAAATAGTGTTTCTCACTGTCAATCCAAGAACAAGAGATGTTTCTATTATTGTTGTTCCCCTTTCATCCTACCACCCTTCTCCTCATTGAGAGCCCCTGTAGCTCAAATCTTCTTTTCTACACCCCTTCTTTGCCTTCTTCAGCTGTCAAAGAATATTGGTGTGCAGTAACATGGTTTGCAGTAACAGGTGGGTTGGAAACTGATGATTTGATATCTAAATGCAGAATGATCTTTACATATCAGCACTATTAAAATAACATTAGGAAGCTAGTTAGATGGAGATTTAAATTTTAGAACATTATATCAAAACAAGATTAAATGTTTAATAATTCATATTAAACAACTCAATCAAAAGACAGAGATTTAAAAATCCAACTATATGCTGTCTTTAGGAGACACATTTTATTATTATTTTTTAATATATTTTATTGATTTTTTTTACAGAGAGGAAGAAAGAGGGTTAGAGAGTTAGAAACATCGATGAGAGAATCATTGATCAGCTGCCTCTTGCACACCCCCCACCAGGGATGTGCCCGCAACCAAGGTACATGCCCTTGACCAGAATCGAACCTGGGACCTTTCAGTCCGCAGGCCGATGCTCTATGCACTGAGCCAAACCGGTTTCGGCAGGAGACTCACTTCAGATTCAAAGATACAAATAGAATGAAAGTAAGAGATGGACCAGCAATTCCTCTTCTGGGTACTTATCTGAAGATTATGAAAACACTTATTTGGAAATATATAGCCACCCCTTACATTCAGTACAGCATTATTTACAATAGCCAAGATATGGAAAAAATTTAAGTGTCCATTGACAGATGAGTGGATAAAGAAGTGTGTGTGTGTGTGTGTGTGTGTGTGTGTGTATTTCCATTTCATATATACCAACAGCTTTACTTTTTGCTGACAGAGAGTATATTCCAAACTTTTATATAAAATCATTTGACTTATTTCCATTAGTTTGCAATTTATTCTTCCACTTTGCCAGCTGTTCTTTCCACTCAGCCTAAAATTGGATGTGCTTCATGTCATACATCCATTGTTTTCACTTTTATTAAAAAAGCAGTAAAAGTAGAATTAATGTTTAAATTATGGATTAGTAGGTGCTACATCATTTTGAAAAGCATAATATATCACTTTAAGAGTGATGAGAAAGAGGTAGTTTCTTCTACTCTTTTAAAAAAAATTATATATTTTATTGATTTTTTACAGAGAGGAAGGGAGAGAGATAGAGAGCTAGAAATGTCGATGAGAGAGAAACATCGACCAGTTGCCCTTGCACACCCCCTACAGGGGATGTGCCCGCAACCAAGGTACATGCCCTTGACCGGAATCGAACCCGGGATCTTTCAGTCCGCAGACCGATGCTCTACCACTGAGCCAAACCGGTTTCGACAGTTTCTTCTACTCTTAATTGGTATATTTTACTTTTTACTTTTTAAAAATTTTTTATTTATTTCAGAGAGGAAGGGAGAGGAAGAGAGAGATAGAAACATCAATGATGAGAGGGAATCATTGATTGGCTGCCTCCTACACATTGGACTGAGCCTGCAACCCAGGCATGTGCCCTTGACCAGAATTGAACCTAGGATCCTTGGGTCCGCAGGCCGATTCTCTCTTTACTGAGCCAAACCAGCTAGGGCAATATTTTACTTTTAAAATTCATTCTATCTTTCCCATGTTAAATATACTAGATTTTCCTGTGCTTTGGAAAGTATTAAAATCAAGAGCAGTAGTATTTCTCAGCATTATATGTGATCTTCCTACCTGGCACTGTTGCTAAGCGAATTAACATGGAAAATGGAAATGCATATGCAGAAAGATTTATAATTAGATATAATATTACTAGCTAATATTTGAAGGTATAATGGCTGAAAAGTTCCCAGATTTGAAGAAAGACATGAATATAAACATTTAATTAGTTCAACAGACTCCAAGTAAGATGAACTTAGAGACTCACACCAAGATATGTTATAATCAAACTCTGAAAAGCCAAAGGCAGAGAGAATCTTGAAAGCAGCAGAGAGAAGAAACTCATTACATACAATGGAGCCTTAATAAGAAAATATGCAGATTTCTCATCAGAAACTTTGGAGGTCAGAAAGCAGTGGGCTGAAATATTCAAAGTACTAAAATAAATTAACTGTCAACCAAGAATCGTATCCTATATCTAGCATAACTGTCCTTCAAAAGTGAAGGAGAAATTAAGGCATTCCCACATAAACAAAAGCTGAGGATGTTCATTACCTCTAGACCTGATGTGAAAAAATGCTCAAGGGAGTCCTGCAGGATGAAATAAAAAGGACACTAGACAGTAACTTGAAGCCACATGAAGAAATGAATATCTCAATTAAGGTAAATAGGTAGACAATTATAAAATCTATTATTATTGTAACAATTATTTATAATTCTACTTTTTGTTTTCTACATAAATTAAATGACTAATATATTTTTAAAAACAAAATTATCTAAGTGTAGTATTATGGTAACTTATTTGTAATTCACATTTTATTTTCTATATAATTTAAGAGAAGAATGCATTTAAAATAGTTATTTGTTTTAGGGCACATATTCTATAAAAATGTAATTTTGTGACAACTGAGTAAGGATGGAGCTGTAAAAAAGTGGAGTTTGGGGATGTTATTGTAATTAAGATGTTATAAATTCAAATTAGAACATAACTTTAGGATGTTAAGTGTAATCTCCATGGAAACCACTTTGATTACAGATTAAGAGAAAACAGGCATACAATAAATGCAAAAATAAATGATAAAGGAATTTAAGCATTTTATATAAAACAACCAACTAAACCCAAAAGACATGTAGAAAATAAGGAACAAAAAAGCTATAAGACATATAGAAAACAAATAACAAAATGATAGAAGTTCCTCCCCATTGGTAATATACAGGGTGTCCCAAAAAATGTACACACACTTTTACAGCTGATAGCTCAATTTAAAAAATAAAATGTATTTTAATTAACACTGCCTTTATAATTATTCAAAGAGTGTATATACATTTTGGGGGATACCCTATATATCTAGGATATAGACTGAGTGGCCAGATTATTATGATCTCTGAATGCATAATAATCTGGCCACTCAGTGTAGATCATATGTTAGAGCACAAATTACTCTCAATTGATTTCAAAAGATAGATATACCACAATAGGATGAAGTTAAAAAACAATAACAGAAAGAAAATGGGGAAATTGACAAATATGTGAAAAATAAATAACACAGTTTTAAACTACCCATGGATCAAAGAAGGAATCACAAGGTAAATTAGAAAATACTTAGAGATAAATGAAAATGAAAACACAATATATCCAAACTTATGGGGCACAATGAACGCAGTGCTAAGGGAGAAATTTATAGCTATACAGGATGGAGCAAAAACAAGTTTATAGTTCCTATGAGAAATAATTAAAAAATTAATAAATAATAATAGAAGAATAAATTGTTTCATGAACTAACAACTATAAACCTACTTTTGCCCCACCCTGTATATAAATATTTAGATTAATAAACAAGAAAGACCCCAAAACAACATAATTTCACAATTTATGGAATGAAGAAAAGTAAAGAAAAAAAAAACACAAAAAAACTAAACCCAAAGTTAGCAGAAAGAAGGAAACATTAATGACTGAGTAGAGATAAATAAAATATAGACTAGAAAAAAAATCAATGAAACCAAAAGCTGTTTAAAAAAAAAATCAACAAAAGTTGACAAACCTGTAGCTAAATGGACTAAGAAAAAAGAGATAAGGCTCAAATCACTAAAATAAACATGAAAGTAGGGGCATAACCAATGATTTTATATAACTAAAAAGAATTATAAGAGAGTACTATGAAAAATAGTATGTCAGCAAGTTTGATAAGCAAATGAAATGGACAATTATAAACACAAAACCTACCAAGACTAAATCATAAAGAAGCAAAAATCTCAATAGACTTAGAATTAGCAAGGAGATTTTTAATCTGTAATAAAAAAATTTCCTGATGAAGAATAGCCCTGGACCTAATGACTTCTCTGGTGGATTCTATTACATATTTAGAGAAGAACTAATACCAATGTTTTTGAAATTAAAAAAAAAATCAGAGGCGGAAACAATAACTCATTCTGTTAGGCAAGCATCACCATGGTATCTAAACTTGAAAAAGACACTATAGTGAGAGAGACACATCAATTCGTTGTCTCCTGCAC